GGAGGTTTAAGGTCATTGGGAATGAGCCCTCCCTCAAATGTTAATGGGACCCTTGTCCCTCTTTTTTTTTTTTGAGATGAGATTTCTCTCTGTAGCCCTGGCTGTCCTGGAACTTGCTCTGTAGCCCAGGCTGGCCTCGAACTCATGGAAATCCGCCTGGCTCTGCCTCCCGAGTGCTGGGATTAAAGGCGTGCGCCACCACTGCCCGGCTCCTCCTTTTTCCTTTTTTCTTCTGTGCCACACACTGGCACTGTCATATACTACCTTACCACATGCTCAAAATCATGGGGCCAATGAATGATAGACCGGAACCTCTAAAACCTTTAAGCTCAGTAAAATTGTTTCTCTCGGGTCTCTGTTATAATGGAAAGCTGACTAACACAATAATCTTCTGAAGTAGAAATCCAATCATTTGGAGATTTTATAATTTTTTTCGATGGATCCCTCGTCCTTAAAGTCTAATTATTTAGCAGCTATGTAAAGCCCTTTCTGGCCTTGCTCTGTCCACTCCCTGGCCCCCATTCCACTTCCTTCACTCCCCAGATATCATACAGTCAATATCAAGGACCCTTGTGGTAACACAGTTCTCAGGTTCTCAAGTCCCTATATTAAATGGGGTCGTCTTGCATATAACATACATACATTCTTCCTTATTTATTTACTTATTTCCTGATGTCTGACTCTATTACCTAATTTGGCTTTGAGTTCTGAGCTCAAGTGACCTTCTTGCCTCAGCTTCCCAAGTACTTAGGACTACAGGGACGTTCTGTTACACCCCGCTCTGTGGTTAGCCCTGTCTAACTTCCTTATAATATCTATTACACTGTGTTATGCAAATAATTGTTCTGTTGAATTAAAAGAAAAAAACCTGTGCACAATCAGTTGCAGATCAAGTTTTCTTCCTGATTATTTTGAAAGAGCAGTTGTTGGAGCTTGTGGATACAGAACCTGCAGACAGGACTATGTCCCTCAACTGCTGTGTTCCCACACCTCTGGGCTTTGCCACATTGCCCTCTCTACCCAGAATATCCTTACCTGCACTATGCCCTCTCTCCTCCTCCAGGAGGTTGCCCTGACCTCCTCGTCCTTCAGGGCACTCAGAGCACACTGTCACTTGTAAAGTCTCTGCCATCCTACACAGGTTCAACTGTTTCTTGTTTGTCTTGCTGTGATGTCCGGCCGTGCACCTGATGCAGCATGGGTGCTTGTTAAGTGTGTGCTGAAGGCATTTGACAGAGTGGTGAGGCTCCGTGGACCGTCCAGACGGCTTTCTCCCAATCCTGATTCTCTCACTTCTGTTTTCTCAGGGTTTGGCATTGGTAAAGCTTAGGGAAAGACGGATATGTTGTTATTTACTTGGTTGGTTGGTTTTTCGAGACAGGGTTTCTCTGTATAACATCTCCGGCTGTCCTGGATCTCGCTCTGTAGACCAGGCTGGCCTCGAACTTGCAGAGATCCACCTGCCTCTGCCTCCTGAGTGCTGGGATTAAAGGTGTGCACCACCACCGCCGGGTGGGAAAGAACAGTTTTAAACCAAGAAGTGAGGGTGTAATTCAAGCAGGGCACATTCTTAGTCCTCTGTTTAATACCTAGGACCAAAAGAGGAAAAAAAGCACTTTATGCCAATAAAAACAGTTCTCTTTTAATTATTTTTTTTACAAAATTACTTTATTTTTAAAGTGATGTATAGGGGTGTTGGTAGGAGGCTATGTGCACACGAGTGCTGGTGCCCTGAGAGGCCAGAGGTGCCAGGTCCCACTGGAGCTGGAGTTACAGGCAATTGTGTGTGCTAGGAACCAAACTGAGGTCCTCTGGAAGAGCAGTGCGCCGTCTTTGCCGCCGAGTCCTGTCTCCAGCCCATCTCCTCGGATGTTCAAGGAGAGATAGTCATCCATTATTGATTCACTCAACCATCCATGAATCATGGAGACTGTAAAATACCTCCCCGAGGTCAGGGCCTGTGTTAAACGTTAGGGCTGCACAGATGAGAAAGGGCTAAGTATCCAGGGGCAGGGACAAGCAGACGTGTCCCGACAAGATGGTGTGCTGGGAGCTGCAGTGGAGAAGAGCTGAGAAGGAAGGCTGGGTGAGGGCCTCCCCTTTTCCTCCGGCCTCCAGGCTCTCATTACTCCTAGATGATAATTAGCTTTGATGCCCGCTGTTGTCAGACTTCCTCGAGCACAGAGACTGACATTTGCCTTTGCATTCATTCAGCATTATTTATTAAATGCCTAGTGTATGCAAAGCCCTTTTAGGCTCTATGGGAGCTGCAAATAATAATATTGACTCAACATGAGCCTTTGTGGGGTACACAATGTGGTTAATACAAGGTTTGGAACATGGTGGAATAGGGAAGCATTTTTTTTTTCATTTTTAAAATTTATGTGTGTGTGTGTGTGTGTGTGTATGTGTGTGTGTGTGTGTGTGCATGCATGTGCGTATGCATGCAGGAGCACGCATATGGAATCCAGAGGTCAGCAATCCAGATGCACTGTCCACATTGTTTCTTGAGACAGGTTTCTGACAGGCCTGGAACTCGTCAGTTAAACTAAGCTCATTGGGCAATGAGCCCCAGCGGTACCTCCTCCAGTCTCCACCTCCCAACACTAGGAAAACAAAAATTTGTGTCCAGCTTTTCCCTCCTTCTTCTCCTCCCTCCATTCCTCCGTTTCTCCCTGTCCTTCTTAACACAGGTTCTGCGGGTTGAACTCAGGTCCTCATTCTTCTAAGGAAAGCACTCTACTCCCTTAGGGGAGCGCTTAAATGACTAAAAAGTAGACTTAGAGGAAGTACTGTCTTCAAATGTCTGGAGAGCAGCCATGGAAAGAGAAACATTTATTCAAGGCTACTTCAAGGGCAGAGCTAAGACCAATGCAGAGCTGTAAGAACTGGTCAGGGAAAGTGCTGGAGAGAGGCAGGCAACTGCCTCTCCACCTGACTGGCTGTTGGCAGTCACAGAACCACCCCACCCCCACCCCCGCAAGACCATGAAAATGATGAGGACTCTTATGAAATATTGACGTAACTGAGTATGCAGGAAGACACCATTGGTGGAATCCAGTTTTGGCCAGAGTTCTAGACCCACGGTAGAAAAATACTCATCATCTCCCTAGATAGTAATGGCTGTCCCGGCCAGCTGGCCAGCTGATGTGCAGGACCTGAATTCCTGAAGCCTGGAAACCAGTAGTAAATGTAGTAGGTGGTGACTTTCTTCTCCTACGGGCTGCCAGTCACTGGCTGTGTGCAAATCGACTTGAAAGGGTGCTGGAAAAGATGTAAACAAAGCAAAAGGACAGATTAAGGAATGAGGAAATAAAGCTACATCTGAATTAACAATCTAAGTGACCAAGCGGCAGATTTTATCCAGCAGAACATGGTGATATCCACTGGCTTTGAGGGTGGCTTTTGCCGGGACTTGCGTCTTAAGGCCTGAAGGCTCTATCGTAGTGGATCCAACTGTGAGAAGAGAAGGGGGGACGGGAGGGTAACTTCTCCAGAGCACATGCCACCAGAGTCCGCAGAGTCAGGAACAACCAGCCAGACAATAGCAGATGTGATAGCTTAGCATTTTTACCATCTGAAGCTTGGCAAGCTAGTATTCGCCATAGGACATCCTGTGATATGTGAACAATTGTATTCTTGAGCAAATCATGGCTTTTGCCCTTAAAAATTTTATATCTGTTTAGAAGCTACACACCAATAATATCTTCACTGGGTATAGCTATGGAGAGGAAGAAAAGCTATTGTACATACTGCCCAGTGAGACATCACCCTGCTTTTATTTAAATGGTTCTGTGTTCTTTACCATAGAGTGCCAATAATTTTAAAAATTGTCTGTTAGCTTCAACATTAGGATTGAAATTTAAAAGATGTGTTTGTAATAAACTGGAGAATTGCAGCACCCTATTGTGAAATGCTTCAGAGAGAACAGAATTACTAAGGTATTAACCTATTCTCACGTACCCATCTTTAGGTCCCCCTACCCTGACTCTTATTTTGCTTATATATCTTTACATTAAAGGCTCTTATAAGGACATCAGTGTGCCTAATGTGATTTTTTCCTTCTCTAATATCTACAGTTTTAAAATGTCTTCTTGTATATTAGCTTTTAGTGTCTTGGTCTTGTTTTGTTTGATTTACTGATTCAGACAGCCTATGCAGAACTAATTATTTTGGGAGTGTGCATTAGTTTGGAGGCACTGGTACATTTTATTAACTTCAAATGCCTCATATTTTTTAATTTCTAAACATTCCAATTGTTATTTTGGCCTCTTCTTGGCCAAAGGCACAAATTACTTTAAAATACTTAAGCATATAATATTAATTTACCGTCTAAAGAACTGTGATTTTTCTGTGTAATCATAAGATTATAGCTTAAATATAATCGTCCCCTTGATTGAATGTGTGATACAACCACTCAGGCATTGGTAACATTGTGTTGACTGAACACTAGGCCTGTTTGCTCGCTGGCTTCACACTGGCTCAGAGCCTCTCTTGTTCAGGAGGAGCTTTGACACTGTGACTCTTGCCTGTGGGGTTCTCTTCGGCACCGGGAAACACAGAGCAGTGTTGATTGGAGTCTTCAGGCAGGAGAGACTGCAGCCATTCAGACAGGCTGCCCCATGGTGCAGTGTGTGTATTATGAATGTGGCATTTCATAGTTTCTGTGTTAGTTACAAGCTGTGTCTTTTACAGTCATGAAATTCCTTAAAGCTGAACGTGGACTGATCTCTAATTTTTTCTCTTACTCTCATTAGTGCCTCACATATAATCCTAAATAAGATTCAGAGTTTCTTAATATGGGGGTGGGGGTGGAACTACTCTGGGAAAATGAGGGAAAGTTTTCCATTAGTGAAAGCTGTTCCAGGTTATGAAATAGTAAAAATAAATAACACAAAAGTCTGCAGGAGGAATTTCTAAGTGGGTCCAAACCGAATGACCTTCAGGTCCTCTCTAAATCTGGAATTTTATCTATGAAAACACCAAAGTTTGTCAAAAATCTTCAACCATCAACCTAAGTGGCGAACTGGCCGCTGATTATGGAAATTTTCTCCAAAAATGGAAACAAGTAAATATATTTCTTGTGATAATTTCGTAATGATTTCGCCCTGAACATTTGACGGTGTGGGGACTTCTCTGTCTGCTTGGCACCTGAATTGAAGCTCTTGGCCAAGCCTGGCTCTCAGGAGGAATTCCAGGGGCAAGAGGACACATTAGTGTTCATACAAGAAAAAAAATGCAAAACCATCTGGCCTGAATTGTAAGTCCATTCAATGAACTATTATTTATTTAGCTGCTAAATGAATTAAGTAGATTTTTATACATGTATATGATATTAAGTGAAAAAGGAAAAATTTGAGAATACTATTTACAGTATGACTACTTTTGCGTACTTTCAAAAAGACTACGTGTAAATCTGTATGCATATTTTTCCTAAATGGGATTTTTTATTTTTTATATCTTTTAAAATCACAATATAATTATATCATTTCCCTCTTCCCTTTCCTCCTTCCTGATGCTCTCACATAACCCTCCCTGCAATTTTTCAAATTCATGGTCTCTTTTCTTTATTAATTGTTGTTACATATTTATACATATATATTTATACATATTTATATGTTCCTAAATAGAGAGATACAACCCGCTCCCTCTGTAGACTGCTACAGAGCCACCAGTTGGTGGCTCTTCCCTGGGGAAGTCTCTGTCTCTCCCACTCTCAGCTTTCCTCAGTTGCCTGTGGTTCTCTGTGTGGGGCTGAGACCTCGTCCACTTTCTCCCACCCACCTTAGCATCCTGTTGGTGTTATCCTTGTTCAGGTCATGTCTGGGCAGCCATGTTGGTGAGATGTCATGGGTGTGGCCTCTGACCTTCCTAGGAGACACAGTGTCACTTGAAGAAGCTCTTTACTCCGGTGAGTTCTTACTACAGAGAAAATGGGAGAGGGTGACTTTCCATTTCCTTTTGGTGTGTTTTCATGTCCGTGCTGTTCTCTATGTGCCTACTCCCCTGTTGGTTTAATGCTAACAGGTCTTACCTGGATCATGGGATTAAAAGCCAAGTTTTTATTTTTTCTTATAATTTTCTATTTTTTTTTTTTTTTGGTTTTTTTTTTCGAGACAGGGTTTCTCTGTGTAGCTTTGCGCCTTTCCTGGAACTCGCTTTGAAGACCAGGCTGGCCTCGAACTCACAGAGATCCGCCCGGCTCTGCCTCCCGAGTGCTGGAATTAAAGGCGTGCGCCACCACCGCCCGGCATAATTTTCTATTTTTATTCCCCAAAGGCTAGAGGAAAGGGCATGAGGGCTGCTCTAGGCGCCACCAAGTCAGATTTTATAGCTCCATTTCCAAGCATGCAGAAGTACAGACAAAGAAGCAGAGGATTGGGAGGAAAGGGGCTTCTTGCTTGAGACTGATTACTCCATAAGAAGAGGTCTGGGCCGGAGCAGTGGCCAGATCTCCGGGGTCCTGTCATGACCTCCAGTTATACCAATGAGAGAGGAGGAAAAGGCTGTGGGGAAGGGAGCCAAGCCTTGCAGAGACGTGTCCATTCGCTAGCTGACTGGTGGACTTGCGAAGCTTTAAACAAGGTCCACCTGTACTCATTGCTTTTCCTGACCACTGGGATAGGACACAACGCAAAGGAGGGAAGGCTAATTTGGATCACAGTTTCCCAGACATCAGTCCTTCACAGAGAGAGGGACACTTTACAACATGGCGGCTAACAAACAGTGAATATAGGATTCCGGAGGCAGTCAGGGCGGGACACAGCCCCAAAGGACCCCCCCACCAGTGACCTACTTTCTTTACCTAGTACTGCCTCCCAAGGTTCCTAACACCTTCCCTAAGCCAGCACGACTAGCTGGGCACCACACTCCCAACACAAGAGCCTCTTGAGGGGACACTTCATGTCCAAACTAGAAGGTCATGTCACCTTGAGAGCTCCAGGATCAATCCTAAAGCTACCATGGACATTGTCTTTCTTGACCCAAAAGGAAAACACAATAAAACATGCTCTCCAAACAGACCTCCTTTACCATATATCCTGGGATTCCTATGTATTCTATTGATTGGAGAGGTACTTGTGGAATTCAGTGCTGGAGATAACTGAGAAAGGGTCAAATAGGACTAAGGACCTAGTGTTGGTCAGGAGGTTTAAAGCAGTATGTCTGGCCAGACTGACATCCTGGTTCCTTCCTCCAGGCCTCCCAGATCAGCTCTCCTCTGTTTCTCTGGATTTTAATCTGCATTCCACACTTTGGACTGTAATTTGATCTTGAATAGGGGTCAGAGCAGCATGGTCAGCTTGGGGCTTGCAACAGGCACTGTGAAAAATGGAATCCAAGAGTACTTGGCAAGTCTTGTTATGCTGCGGTTTTTCTGCAACTACTGTATCATAGAGGATCAATTCAGAAGTAGAGGAGACACCTCCCTCATTCTCCATCAGTATAGGGGTCTTACTAGACCAGCGAGGCTGCCTGTCATCAGATGCCACCCACTCTTTGCAGCCCTCTCTTTTAGGTGGGCAAGGTCTACGACTGCTCTGCATTGGCTGTGTTTCCTCTCCGTTGAACCGACTTTGATCCAAGGGGTACTGGAGGTGATGGATCTCAGCGAAGACGGTGGCTCCGGTGGGAATCAAAGGTGGGAGTAGTCTTAGGGTGGAGAATGAGAAGCTCCCTTCCCTGGAGGAAAGCCACCCGCCAGCAGAGGCATGAACCTTTGTGCGGGTGCCAAGCTTTTCACCCACTGAGCATCGGAGGTGGATGTCATTTCCTTCACAGGTAAGAGCAAGAAGTGGTGTGTGCCAGGGCCCTGTGATTTTTGGGTGACTCAGCCTGTGACCTTTCAGGAGGAATCTCAGAGAGAGAAGGTGGGGAGTCTGAACTTGCTCTGTCGGAGCTTGAGAGGTAGCTGTTGCCGATGCTTCTTCACAATTCAGATGAAGAGGGTTCAGTTAATCCTACCTCTTGGCTCAAGGATATAGGCATCATCGGTCCCTGCAAAACACCTTTTGAAGATGTATTTACTTCCTTATTCCTGTTTCTCTCCATTCTTAAATTCTATTTTCTTGTCCAAGCCACAGTAATTCTTAGGTGTGTTGTATGCCTCCTTTTATTTGCATGCTTTGTTGCAAAAGTGATTTCTTTGCAGTATTAATTTATGTCTGTGTTCTATCTCATTGTTTCTCACTTTCCCCCTTGTTTATTTTTTCCCCATAACTGCTCCTAAAATCCATTCATGCTGCTATACAGACCTCAGTTCTGCTGTGTAGTAAGTATTCCCTGGAATTCCTGAGTAATAATGTAGTGAGTACCACATTTAATACTCAGTCTTAGTGAGGGGAACTAAGATAACCTTTAACTCTTACCACAAGTAACTGCAGATGTCTCCAGAGGAACTGAATGAGACTTTGAGGGGATGTATCCTATAGAGGACTTTCTGTATGTTCTAATGAACTTGATTCACCAGGTCGGAGTGCTCCCCAAGGTGACTCACCAGGCCAGAGTGCTCCCCAGGATGCTTGCCAGTGCAGACTTCTCTCAAGTCCTCCGTCTCTCCAGCAACGTACAAGAACAGTCACATCTCACATCTGCCACACTTGGCGTCATGCTTCTTTCCATATTTTATCCATAAAAAAGGCATGCAGTAGCATCTCCTTGTTGTCTCAATCTGCATTTTTCATGTGGCTTGTGAATCTCCCTTCACATCTGCTGTGGTGGAGGTGGAGGGTTCTGCTCAGGTTCCTGCTTAGAAATTAGATACTCAGTTTCCAGCTGCCCAGAGCGTCGGCCTCGGAAAGCACATAAGATCCAGATCCTTCATGGGGATTGCCTTTGGCCAAAGGAAGCTACTTCACCTTAGTTTGTGACCCATTCATGGGGGTAGCATCCATCCAGCGACTAGTCATGCAGGAATACAAAGTCTCAAGTCCTTGGCCCAAGTCCAGGATGTCTCTGATGAGACTAGCCAGTAGCAGCAACACCCCATGGATCGGTAGAGGCCTGGACTCTAATGGATCATAGTTTAAAACTCTTGAACTGCTCAGTCTTCTTCTGTTTCTCTCACTTGGTCACCGCTACCCATAAGGCCACTTCCAGACCACACAGCTCTGCATCCCTGGGCCTGAAACCCAGGGAAACGACACGTGGCAACCTGCCAGCTTTGGAGAACGTTATTCATGTAGAATCTGTTTCTTTCCTCTTTCCTATTACTGCTGTAAGTGTCCAAGAGTCTTTCAGATTCTTCACTTCAAATCCTCATTCCTTTAGATATTACAAGTATAGGGGCCTGAGGGATGGCCCAGCAAGTAAAAGTGCTTGATACACAAGCCTGGTGACCTGAGTTCCATCCTGAGGACCCATCTAAAGGTGGAAGGAGGGACAACTCCTAAGAGTTGTCCTTTGACCTCTTGTGGGGGGGCATCCCTCACCCTGACATTTCCCGAGAGTACTCTTGAGTATGAGCAGCAGGAAATATTAGTTAGAAGGATAGAGCGGGGAGAAACAGAAAATACAAGATAGCCCCGAGAGGGCCTGGATCCTAATCCATCCACCCAACTGTCTCTGCCCTAGGGTATTTAAAGGAGAGCCAAGGGGTGGAGCAAAAGACCTCCTCCCCCAGCACAGCCAAGTGCAGACATCTCAGACACCTGCACTCAGGCCCGTGGTCCAATCATCCTCTCCATGCAGACCTGCGGGGTAAAGCCGCGAGGAAACCCGAATGGGCTCCAACAACCTCTCCCAGCACACGCATGCCCACACTCACACCCACCCACATCATGCACATATAAACACACATCATGCATACATACACACAAGTGGTAAGTTCTTAGAAGATACTATCAATATCTATACCTATTCTGCCACCAATCTGTTAGCTTACCGGTGATGCATGTTTTTTAAATTAGACATTTCCTGATTTTGATGTAGTCAAATTGTTAAACTTTTGCTTGGTGATTTTTGCTTTTGAAGTTTTGTCTTTAACAGAGTTTCTGAGGTCGCACAGATGGCTTCTGGCACTCCGTTGTGCTCATTTTACATCTACTATTTTCCTTTAATATTTTATACTTATTTCAAGCCATGAGTGCCCTCTTTTGTGTACAGTATCAAGTTGAGTCTAGTTTTCATTTTAATTTTTATCACATGTGTTTTTCTCTTGTGTGCGTGTGTTTGTTTGTTTTAGACAGGGCCTCAAGTAACGTAGGCTGGCCTCGAACTTTATCTACCAGATGCTGGAATCACAAACGCATGCCACCACATGTGCCTGGTTCATGTGATGCTGGTGACCAAACCCAGGGTTTCATGCATGCTTGCCAGGCACTGTACCGACCAAACTGTAGCACCAAGGCACGGTGTTGTGTTTCTCCGATGGTGAGCTAGTTTCCTAAGTGCCACTTGATAACTAACCCTCCCCGCACTGATCCGTGACACCACTTCCATCCTAAAAGTTCAGACATACGCGTGGTTCTGCATCTGAACTCTCTGCTCTGCTCCACTGCTCCAGTTGTATGTTGTTTTGATCACTGTCAGTATTATAAGGCTTTAATATGTCTTAATATCAGAGAGGGTAAGAGCCTCCCTTCATTCTCCTTTGGTAAACCACTTAGCTGTGATTCTCTAGGTCCAATCTAAGCATCTTTCCTGCCCTAGCACTCCCTAATTTTTAGAGTCAATTCAGCTCAAGTGGGTTGGACTCTTTATTCTGACTTTGTTTGGGCCAAAAACACTTGGCTGGACTGGCACAGAAGGCCTGCCAGCCAACATACCTGAATGGTGATTTGCATTATTGGCAGTGTATATACACACACACACACACACACACACACACACACACACACACACACACACACGCACAGGGAGGAGGAGGGGAGGAACATTTGTAAGAACTCAAACCGAGATAGTATCTAGCTTGCATTGGCCACTCCAAAGCGCTGACTATTCTCAGCAAAGCAGATCCAATCGGATCTAAGAGAAACTGTCAAAGGCACACTGATTTTAATGAGCCTGGGAACCTAATCAGAGGCAGTAATGAACGGCGTTAACAATATACTCCTACCAGTGAGGACACCTGTCAGGATCTGTGGTGACTTGGCCCTTGCTGCTGAGGACGGCAAGGCCTGTCAAAGGTTAGCTCACTGCCACCCAGCACCTTCGTTGCTTCTGCGGCTTCCACCCATCTGTTCCCCCAAACTGAGTTTGAAGACATGTCGCAGTTACATTCTTGTGTTAATTAGGAGGCTGTGAGCAGGCCCCAGTTAGTCATCCTCGGTGTGAAGATGACAGGCGAGACGCTCCAGCTCTGGGGGTGCGGACGGGTTTAGACACGTCAGAGCTAGGGGTGAAGACAGACAGAAGCTGGAACACGGAACGGAGTGACTCACCCTGAAACCTTGAACACCAAGGTCAAGGAGAGGGCGAGGACTTTCCAAACGCTGTCTGCTTTGGGACAGGGATGAGACTTCTGCTAACTAGGGCTTTCTCCTCGCTGAAGACCAAAAGGCCAAGGGATGAACTCTGGTTCGGTGCAAGCAGCCCTTCTGGCCTTGACCTGGTTTGGCCAACCCTCTTCTGGGCGCCTGTCTCTGCCGGATCCTTCCCTGCTCTATTTGTATATGTGTGTGTTTATTTATTTTATTATCTACCTATCTACCTATCTATCTATCTATCTATCTATCTATCTATCTATCTATCTATCTATCTATCTATCTATCTTACTATTAGGATTTAAACCCGGGGCTTTGTGCATGCTAAACCGGTGCCCTACCATAAGCTATTCCTATAACCCCTTCCATAATTTTGAGAGTAAGTTCAGCTCAAGTGATTTGATCTGCCCTCTTTGTTCAGGCCAGCAATCCCAGCTCAACTGGGAGTAGTGGCCGCGGGCAGCGGCGGCAGTGGCAGCTGCACCCCTCTCCCCCGCTGCTGTCCCCATTGTGCTCAGAGCCCGTGTCTCTTCCCAACACTCTTACTTCCAAATCCTGAGTCCTTGAGAGCAGACATCTTCAAGTGACTGGTTGTGGTGCTGTTTTTCTGAGGGGTTCTACAGTCTACACAATGCCGGCTGCTGGCTTCACGTGTTTACCTCAGCGGAAAAGAGAGGTGATTGCTTGGTCCTGTGGTCTGTCTGGCCCGAGCCTGTCCCCATCCTGCACTCATACTGGGGTACCGGGAAGTCCATTAGCACCTGTTCCCTCACAGAAAGGGTTTTAGACTGTTCTACTTTCACCCTGTTGCTATGATAAAACACTCTGACCAAAAACAACTTGAGGAGGGGAAGGAGAGGATTCATGTGGCTTACATTTCCAGGTCGCAAGCCATCAGTGAAGGAAGTCGGCGCAGGCACTCAAGGCAGGAGCTTGAACCATGGATGAGTGCTGCTTTCTGGCTCGCTCCCACGCCTATGCGCTGCAGGTTTTCTTACGGAGTCCAGACCCACCTGCCTAGGGATGGCGCAACTCACAATGGTCTAGGCTCTCCTGTGTCAGTCACCAATCAAGACAATGCCCTACCAGTTTGCCCTCTCCAGGCGACTCTAGCTTGTATCAAGATGACAGCTGAAGCTAGGTAGGTGTGCTGGGCTAGTTTTGTGTCAACTTGCTACAAGTTAGGGTCATCGGAGAGGAGGGAGCCTTAGTGGAGAAAATGCCTCCTCCGTAAGCATGTAGACAAGCTTGTAGGGCAGTTTTCAAATTAGTGATTGATGGGGGAGGGCCCATCCCATGGTGGGTGGGGCCACCCCTAGCCTGGTGGTCCTGGGTTCTATAAGAAAGCAGGCTGAGCAAGGCACGAGGAGCAAGCCAGTAAGCAGCACCCCTCCATGGCTTCTGCAACAGCTCCTGCCTCCAGGTTCCTGCCCTGGTTGAGTACCTGTCCTGACCTCCTTCTATATGATTATGAGCAGTGTGGAGGCATAAGTCAAATAAGCCCTTCCTCCCCAGTTGCTTTTGGTCACCGTGTTTCATGACAGCAGTGATAACCCTGACTAAGACGGTAGGCGGGACACATACTGGCTGGAGCCCAAGAGGACCTGGAAAGGACCTTTGTTTGGTCTACAGAGCAGGACACCAAAAGGCCAGACTACAGTGCACTTACTTCCGTGTCTCTCTGCATCTGACAACAACTTCAAATGAGGCCCCAACATCTCTTCATTCCTCCTTTTCCTTTTGCTCTGGGAATGTGTTGGGAACTTAACTATCCTTCCATTCCTCCCGCTTCCCTGTAAATGTAACAACCCGCATCTGGAGTGTGGGCAGGCTGCGCTGGAGACTAGCCACTGGATCTTATACAAAGACGAGCATGGCCAAAGAGTCTATAGGGGACTTTCAGGGACTTCACTCTGAGACACCTAGAAGGACTCTATCAAGTGTTATCCTTCCTGGAGTGGGAGGAGGTGAGCAAGAGCTAGGTGGCTGCTCTTTTTAGAATCAGCGAGGCAAGGAAGCAGGCTGTGTTACATGTGAAGAGTATGAGGGCTGGCGTGATGGCATAATGCATAGAGTGCTTGTTACTCCAGCCTGAGGGCCTGAGTTCAGAACCCCAGCACCCACATGTAGAGACAAGCACAGTGGTGCGTGCCCGTAACCCCAGCACTGTGGGGATGGATGGAAACACACAGATACCTGGAGCTCACTGGCTGGTTGTCCAGCCAGTTGTTTAGACTCAGATTCAGTGAGAAACCCTGTTTCAAAAGAAATGTGGAGCACTATAGTGAGAAACACCTGACATCAACGTCTCGCCTCTACATGCACATACATGCCCAGGCATACACGCCCCACACAAACATGCAGTTATATAGACACTTGGACACATATACAAGTACTATACTCAAAAAAAAAAAAGATGAGGTAAACCAAACAAGATGCTAATTGTCTAGGAAGGGTCCATTTTGAAGCCTAGAGACTCAGGACATGGGTAAGAAAATATTCTCGAAAGGCGATACCTCAGTGGTGGGGACCACGTTGCTGGCTAGTTCGGTGCTCCCTTGGAAAATCAGACCATCCTTTCTGTACTTCCACCTATTCCCCCATCAAATTCTGACACCCAGGGAGAATAGAGGGTTACAGTCTCAGTCCTGGGGCAGGATGCTGGGCTTATTGGGAAAGTCAGTCACACCATCTGCCAGCCAGATGCTGAGCACAGCTGGAAGAATGGCGAGGACTCTGTTGAGGTTGTTGAGGATTCTAGAATTCCCCCACCTCTTAAACCCTCTGGGTGTTTACATATCTAAGTAGAGGACCAGAGAATCCACAGGCCCCATTCTCAAACTATTTCATCCTTCAAGCAGGCTTCCCCCAGGGAAATCCTCTATCACTTTTTACATGTCACAGGCTTCTGGTCAGTCCTTATGGCCAAGAGATTTCTTGGTGCAGGCTTCATATTTAGCCTGCCAACCATGCAGGAGACCCCCAAAACTTAAGCTGCACCAAGCTGCCTCCTAAAATGTTGCAACTGAGTGAAGACAGGTAGAAAAAGCAGAAACGGGTCTGCAAAGCTAGATAGCAAGGTCTTCTCTCCAGGCCATTGTCTCTGCCCCCTGTGCCACCACAGTTTCCAGGGGCTTCTGAATCACTCAGTCTAGCTATTGGCAGCTTGTTAGGTCCAACAAACCAGGAGAGAGAGTTTGCCCAGGAATGATATGTCAGAACTATTCTCTGTGGTGCCTTCTTGAGTGTGGAGGTCTGTGGGTAAGGAGAAGTTGGAGTTGAAAGGTTCTTAGAATCCCATGGGATCCACAACAAACAGGTCTATTAGTCTTTTCATGATTATACTTAAATACCCAACTCTGTATACTTACGAAGAAAAGAGGTTTGTCTGGCTAAAGTCTGAGTAGCATAGTACCCTTCTGCAAGGGCCCTCTTGGCCACTTCATGTCACAGCAGATGGCACCTGTCCTGGTTTACTTTCTGTTGTGAGGAAACAATGACCAGGCCAACCTGAAGGATGAAAGGGTTGGCTTATATTTCTATGTCACAGCCCATTACTGAGGGAAGTCAGGACAGGAACCCGAAGGGAGACACACAGAGAAACACTGCTCACTGGCTTGCTCAGTTTCCTTTCTTATAAAATCCTGGGCTGCCTGTGAAGGGGCAAAGGAAAAAAAAAAACACATCCACACTACAGAAACAGGAAAAGGTACTTGGGACAAGGAGTCACCTGCCGATGGTCAATTATCCAGAAAAGGATGCATACCCTGGCTAAAATAGAAAGAAATATCAAACTAGATTTAGGGGATTGTTGTTGGTTGTTTTTTTACTATTTTAGGGGGCCTGCCACCCAGCTCCCAAATAAATCACACACAGAGGCTTATTCTTACTTATAAATGCCTGGCCATTGCTTGGCTTGTTTCTTGCCAGCTTTTCTTAAATTATCTCATCTACCTTTTGCCTCTGGGCTTTTTCCTTTTCTTAAATCTGTACATTTTACATTCACCCTTACTCTGTGGCTGGCTGTGTGACTGGGTGGCTGGCCCCTAGCATCTTCCTGTCCTTGTTCTCTTGTTCTTTTTTCCTTTTCTTCTTCTTCTCTGCCCAGATTTCTCCTTCTATCTATTCTCTCTGCCTTCCAACCCCACCTTTCTCCTGCCTCACTACTGATTGGCTGTTCAGTTCTTTATTAGATCATCAGGTGTTTTAGACAGGCAAAGGAACACAGCTTCGCAGAGTTAACCTCCACATAAAGGAATGCAACACATCTTTGCATCATTAAACAAATGTTTCACAGCATAAACAAATATAACACATCTTAAAATAATATGGGCTCTGCTACTCATTTGCTGAATATGACTCCACCCTGGATGACCCTGAATTTTCAACCCAGGACAGCCCACAACGTGCCCTAGACAGGTGACCATTGTGAGAACAAGCCTCATTCGGCCAGTTTCCCTTGGAGCTTTTGTCTTAGGAGGCGTCCGGTCCTGTTTCTTGGTTGCATCTTGCAGATCGGCTCCTTTGATATATTTTCTGTATTCCTGACTATTTTACCCTCCCCAATTTGACAGGCTAAAGTGACTATAAATGACAAAAGTCAACGATAGCTCCACTCTGTGCTGGGATAAGGGCACATCTAAATGGGCTGGAAGCCCTGTGGACTGACTGCATCTCTCTGCAGAGCAACCTTGCAGTAGAAAGAGCAGAGACCTAGGTGTGACCAAATCTCTCTATTTAGGGGCACACAGTCCTGAATATATAAGCCCAAAGGGACAAGAGAGCTACTGATACAAAATAGCCATATTGGTTACTAGTTCTGCTACTTAGAAATCATACAAGTATCCAACAGGAAACAAATTGTGTCACATTTGCAGTAGAGCTACAGAATCCTAATTTAAACAGACAAACGTGAAGACTGTCGACACAAGGAAACATGAACATGAAATAATGTTTTAGAAAGATGGATTAAAAAAAGAAGCTAAAAAATACTTATTCATATTATGACAGGAAAACTTGACAAGCCTCAGAAGAGACTGACCAGAAAGGTAGAAATGTCATCAGCTGTGGGGTTTCCTCTGGTGGCGTTTAGGTGTTCATAAGAAGCATGTTTACGGCCGGGCGGTGGTGGCACACGCCTTTAATCCCAGCACTCGGGAGGCAGAGCCAGGTGGATCTCTGTGAGTTCGAGGCCAGCCTGGTCTCCAAAGCGAGTACCAGGAAAGGCGCAAAGCTACACAGAGAAACCCTGTCTTGAAAAAACCAAAAAAAAAAAAGAAGCATGTTTACGAAGTAAGGTGAAAAGGTGAGGGGAACAGAGGGCTCTTCCAGCGTTTGTCACTGTGCTGACTTGGGTGACAGCCTGGTTTCCTTTGCCCTTTTGAATTTCTTCCTGTGGGGGGTGGGGTGGGGGTGGGGGATGTTCTCAGCCTAAGGAGAATGCCAGGGGAGCCTCTCTGAGATCACTCTCCTTGGGGACACCACTCTCCGAGGCTGCTGCCCAGGTGCCTACAAAAAGAAAAAAAGAAAAAAAAAAAATCTCATTATCTTTCACTTCCTCTAACCCATTTTTTTAAACACCCAAAGTGTCCAGGCTTTTGGAAAGTAGCGGCAGACAGCTGTGGCTGGTCAACTGAGGTGGCTCCATGGTAATTCATTTTCACCGTCAGCTAGACTGGATTAAGAAACACCTAGTCGGGGGAGGGCTAGTGAGAGGGCTCTGTGAGTAAAACATTTGCCATCCTGAAGACTGGAGTTCCCACCCCCAGGACCTACATAAGTCTGTGGGTGTGGTGGTCCACGAGCAATCCCAGCTTTCTGGAGACAGGCGACCCCCGGAGCAAGCTGGCTGGCCAGGCTGGCTGAAATGGTGGAGAGCTGTCCATTCAGTGAAAAAGTCTGTCTCGATACTGAGAGGCAATATATAAGTTACTGAGGAAGATGCCCAATTTCAACCCGGGGCCTCCACATGCATGCACATACATGTGCACCCCCACACATGAATACACATGCATGCACACCTCATGCATATGCATGAGGTATAAAGACACACCTGAGGATTAGTGAGGTACACCTTCTAATGGAACTGTGAGGGCTTTTCCAAAAGGGATGAACTGGGGGGAGGGGAGGGGTCCACTTTGAATGTAGGAGGCATCATCTCATGAGCTTGGGGTCCAGGCTGTAAAAGGAAAAAGAGAGAAAAAAATTGACATCCACACTTATTTCTCTCTGCTTCCTGATCTGCCCCTGCCCCACAGCTGTAAGCCACTCCGGCCACCATTTCTTCCCCACCGTGATGAACCACACTGCTAGTGAGCCAGAATGAACCCTTCCACCCCCCAGGTTGCTTCTTGTCAGGGATTTGGGGACAGCAATGTGGAAAGTCTGACACCGGCACCCCACTAGCAGTCAGGATTGTCATTTTAGCCATAACTGCATGACCACCTTGCTCAGCAATCTGAGACCACTTGCAGACCCTGGGTAACTCCAGACTTCAGTTTCCACATCTGTCAAGGGCTGACACTCAACCCATTGATCTCTAAAGGCCCTTACGGACATTCCGGCATCCGTGTTTAGCCTTCCGAGACTAAGAGCCCCAAATAGAATTCCCATCATCACTCTGAGGCTGAGAATCCGTTCAGCCATCCAGAGCTCAGGAGGCCAGAGCAGCCCTGTAAGCAGACTTCAAGCTTAGGGTCCCACTAAGGGCTCATTGGAGTGGAAACAAAAACAAATAAACAAACAAAACCATTATGCACCGTTTGGGCCATCATCACCAGACAATTGTTTCTTGAAAAGGCAAGGAACCCGAAAGTTCTAGCAAGAAACACGCTGACTTTAAAAGACTCCTGAGGGTCCTGACCTTGAGCAGCCTCGGGACCAGGCCCTGAATGGCTCTGGGACAAACAGGACATGCCCTGGGAGAAGACACCGCTGTCAGAACAACTTGTCTCCATTCAGCTGCCCACAGAGGCAAGCGCCACGGGAGTTGCCTCCAGAAGCCTCAGCCAACTGGAGAAAGGGCTTTGGTGTAAGTCAGAAATTCTCCAGGCTTGTGTGACCGACGAGAGAAAAAACAGAGATCCTGTAAGAGGAGGTGTCTGGCTTTGGGGGACAGAGGGGGCCGGCCCTTCCTGCCACCTCGGCCTCTGAATCTAATGAGCGTATCTCTTTCCGTGCAGAGACACATGGCGGAAGAAGGATGGACTGTGGGTGGAGAGAAGGGGAAACGTTTGTCATTTGGGGCAGAGGGAACGATGGCTGCTTGGCTGCTCCAGGACCACCACGCCGAAGTTCAGTGATAGGTGAAACCCTTCCCACTAAGAATAAATGAATAGAGACGCCGGGGTTGGGGTGGAGTGGGGGTTGGCAGGAGAGTCCTCTCTACCTCAGTGGTCTACAGAAAGGGTGATCATAGCATCTTTTCTGTGGAACCATCCGCATTGGGTTTCTCTGAGCGACACATCACCCAAAACTGTACAGGCTTGAAACAATTGTCACCTATTTGGATACCAGGCTGTGGGCTGGCTGGGCAGCTCTTTCGGTCTGGGCCAGTTTGGCTGAGCTTTTCCGGGCTCTGCTGCATCTGTGGTCAGCTGGCACGGCTGGCCCTATTCTCATGCCTGGCAGCTCATAGGCCAACTGGGCCTCGTGCCTCTCAGGCCTTGCTAGCCCAAGTTTGTTTGTGAAGTCCCGATTTCCATAGAGAAAGCTTTGGAGTCCTTTGGTGGTTAGGCTTGAAGCCTGTGCCTGTCACTTTTCAATATTTTAAAGGCTTTTATTTTATGTGCATGAATGTTGGTGTGCAAGTATATATGTGCACCACATACATGCCGGTGCCCATGGAGGCCAGGAGTCCACCAAATCCCCTGGGACGGGAGTTATGGATGACTGTGAGCCATCATGTGGGTGCTGGGAACTTATTACAAGAGGAACTAGCACTTTTGACTGCTGAGCCATCTCTCCAGCCCCTGCCTTGTTACTTCTTCTGCATTGTGCCCTACAAAGCCAGACAAAAGCCACCTAGGGGGGGCCAGTTGTCCCAGTTGGCCTGGAATTGAGGGGTTTCCTAGAATGTCAGATTTTCACTATGAAAATGGGGAAGCCGGTCAGTATAATGGCCATCCCAGACTCAAGAGGTGGAGAACTTGGCTAGACATCCTTCCAAAAACATACAAGAGGCGAGCAAACGTGTGAAAAGGTGAGCACCGTCAGTAATCATTAGGGAAATGTAACTCAAAGCCACAAGGGGATGCTCTTTTGTACCTACTAGGATAGTTATTTTCAAAAACAAAAGATTAAAAACAAGCAAAACCCCGTAACAAACATAAAGTAATAAATGGCAGTGGAGATATAGAAAAACAGAAGGCTTGTGCATTAGCTGTGGGAATGTCACATGGTGAAATGTGGGAATGTCACTGTGAAAAATGACCTGACAATCCCTTAAAGTTAAACAGAAATGCTGTCTGAATCCGAAGTCCCAGTGCTGGGTAGATGCTTGAAAGAATTAAGATCAGGGACCCAAACAGATGTTTGCACACCCACTGACTGTGCATTAGCAGCATCTCCATAACTGCAAAATGATGGAGGTAATTCAAGTGTCAGTCAGCAGATGCCTGGATACACAAAGTGTGCGTGACGGAGTATCCATCATTCCGCCTCTAAGAAGAGGGCAATTCTGACACGTGCTGCGATGTGGGTTAGCCTTAAGAAGGCTGTACTAAGTCATTGAAGCTAGCTACAAAAAGACAAGAGCTGGAGGATTTTGCTTACACCAGCACCAAGGACTCACTTCCCAGAGCTAGAAAGTATGGTGGCTGTTGCCGAGGGCTGAGGGGAGGAGCAAGGCAAAGTCACTGTGTGATATGAACAGTGTCAGTTTTGCAAGGAGAAAAGGTTCTGGACATGAACAGAGTTGATGGTGGCACAGCACTGTGAATGAATGTAATGCCACAGAAGCACACACTTAAAAGACACTACAGTGGTAAAAACGTGTGTTACATATATCTTACTACAGTTTCTTTAAGAGAAGCCGGAAGCTGGGGCCCCCTTTCTTCACAAAAGGAATGGAAACTGTTGTGGCTGTTTTTCCCCCATTGGCCACAGGAATGAAGAGCTTAACTAAATGGGACCGGGCTGTTGAAAGAGTTCATAATATTTGAGGAAATGCTCTGAGAGACAGCACACAGAGTCCAAATATTGACTGTTTAGACACTTTTTTTTTCCTTCAGGAGCCAGTAGTAGCTTATGATTATTCACTCAAATGGGAAAAATAAAATAAAATTCAAGAAGGCCCATGTCACTGGATGAATGAGATGTTGAGGCTGGCTAGTAAGCCTTAGTACTGTCCAGAAAAATAAAAGCAAATAATAATAGCTCAGAGTCCTAAAAGAATCACTAAGATGTTTGAAAGCATCAGCGCCACTGTTTCTAGCTCCCTTTACCACCCTGGCAAAGAGCTGGGCAACAGAGGGGGCATCAGTGGAAAACATACCTGCTTCCTCATCCTTTCATGGGGCTCTGTGTTTAGAGGAAGTCTTGTGGCAGGAGGAACAGGCTGGAGGATGCTGTCAGAGGTGTGGGCGGCAAGGCCTGCCAGGCAAGGAGTCACTAGAGGAAGCCAAGGGTATATGACCATTAGCAACTGCCAGACTCCTGGAATACTGCACTGGAAGGAACATGTGTCCCACATGAGTGCATGGCCCGTGGAAGGGAGAAGAGACCATCAGAGCCCCTGGAACTAGAGTTACAGATGGTCGTAAGCCACAGTGTGAGGGCTGGGAACAGAACCCCGGTCCTCTGGAAGAGCGGTCAGTGCTTTTAACTGCTGAGCCGTCCCTCCAGCTGTCCTCTTACTAGCTACCTCATGGAGAGGCTCTAAGGTATCTCCTAACCAATTTTCTTTTGGTTATAGGAAATTAATTCTTTGATCTCACATCAAACACCTATTCTGGGTTTGTTCCTGACACAGCTGTCTCAGGCAGGCTGAAGCGCCAGGGCATTGACTAGGGCCGCATGCCATAACCCCATCCTTTTCCATGGAGACGAAAACTTGGAAGAACCCCAATGAGGAAGCATCTGGCAAATCAATTTATTGTTCCAACTGCCTTTTCCAGCTGGGAAGACTTCCATAACTGGGAAGGATCAGCCCTTAGCACTCAGCACCGTCCAGGATTCCTTGTGGCACTCTAGGAATCCCAAGACATAAATCTATACACACCGATCAAGGATCTGCTTGAACCAGGAGACCAGTGGACGAGACAGGGCTCGAGGGGACTGGTTCTGTGTTGCCTGACACCCAAGTCTCAGAGGTCGGAACCAGAGTGAATAGTGAAAAGGCAGGTTTGACTCCATCACCCCATCCCTGCCTATTAGGAGCAGTGATGAAGAAATGGTCCAAGGCTGCCTCCAGGAGACACTTCAGACCAAGAGGGAAGGGACGAGATGAGGTAGAGGAAGGAATGCTGGGGAGACGGCTCAGCAATTAAGAGCCGTGGCCGTTCTTCCAGAGGACCCGGATGCAATTTCTAGCATCCACATGGTGTCTCACAATCGTCGATCACTCTACGCCCAGGGAATCCAGAGCTTTCTTTTTCCGTCCTTAGACACTTCACACGCTGGATGCACGGACATACATGTGGGCAAAGCACCCACCATCCCATTTCCGACCCGACCATGTTTGTCTCAAAGTATTTTCCAAAACTCTGACGTAGGCAGGCTGGCCATATAACTCTGTGGCAGGGAGGAAGCAAACAGTTAAGGGTATTTAAACCATTGTGCCCTTGAGGAAAAAAAAAAACACAAAACACCCAGAGTGGGGACAAGAAGCCAAGAACTCATCTGTAGAGAGAAAGCCAAGCTGGCTTCCACAAGGAGACTTTCTCAGTCAAGTTCCGACGGTCCTGTTAGACTCCGTTTGAGGGTATTACCTTTGCTCTCTGTGGGATGCTGTAAGTACCTGATTAGATGTTTTGCGATGTATCTACTACTCCTGCTGAAACGCTCCCTCCATTTAATTGTTCTTTTACTTTTGCTTGCTACATGCTTAAGGTGATCACTCATTTGGAGCTGAAAGTATGGCTATTGTAGATCAGTCTCGACAGAGCGCAGCTGGTGCCGTCAGCAAGATCTACAAAGGTACTGTGTCTGTTTCAAAGGAGCGACTGTTACAGAAAGTCAAAGGGGAAATAAGTCTCAAAAAGTACATCTGGATGTACATCTGGATGGGTATATACGGGATGACGATAGATGGGTGAGGAATGGAGCAGTGATTAAAAACCTCACCCCATAGAAATTTGGCATCCCATACCTGGACAACTAAATGAGCACACAAATGCCTTCTCTGGCTAAAACTGCATGTGCTGGCCTAAGATGCAAAGGTTTCTGACTCTCTGTATGTTTTCTCTTTTGCTTTCTCCTCTTTACAAAGATTATCCACTGCCCAAGGTCATTTGGAAACTCGCTTATCTTGGCAGGCTCTTAATGGAATGTAGCTTGCTCTAACTGCGAGACTCTTTCAAGGATAAAAATGTAAAAGAGCCCTTGAAGAAAAACAAACGTTTGCTAAGAGCTTACAACAGGCAAATCATTATAGTTTAACCTGTCCATTAGTGTGGACAGGGAATCTTTATTTGTTATAGGACACCACGAATATAATTTGGATTCACTCCCTTAATAAGTTGGTGAAGTTATACTGTTATGCCTTGTGATTTTAAGAAAGAAAACAAAGTAAAAAAGAAAAGAAAGTAGGAGAGAAGGGGAGGGAGGAGAGAGGTATGAGAAGTATGAAGTCCTACTTTTGATAAGAAAGGTGAAAAATAAGAGAGTATTTTACATTAGCAAGGAGGATTTTTTTTTTTTGTATGATAAAATAAGATTTTGGTCCTAAGAGAAAAAGCTAGAATTTTCTAAAATGGAAAAATAGAGATAAAGACAAAACCAGAAAGTTTAAGCAAGTTACAGAAGTTCTAAGTACATCGCACAAGGTTTGTGGGGGACAAAGCTTGGAGATGGTATAGGAATGGTTACGTGAGTTATGTGATAATTAAAAGTCATTAACTCCTAAGGTCAAAATTCCACACACCAGTATAAATCCTTTATTTAAATCTATAGGTCTCTTAAGTTACTGATCTACTGTTTTTTAAATTCTTCTCTTTTTAGTTATGTATATGTGTGTGACTGTGCGTGGGTATGTTCCCACGTGAGTGCAGATGCCTGTGGAGTCCAGCAGAGGGTGTCTGATCCTGTTGTTGGTTGTTTTTGCTCTTTTGGGGGGGCCACCATCCAGCTCCCAAATAAATCACACAAGGAGGCTTATTCTTACTTATAAATGCCCAACCTTAGCTTAGCTTGTTTCTAGCCAGCTTTTCTTAAATTATCCCATCTACTTTTTGCCTCTGGTCTTTTTCCTTTTCTTACTTCTGTATATCGTACTTTCACTCTTACCCCGTGGCTGGCTGTGTGGCCGCCCCTAGCATCCTCTTCTCCTTGTTCCCTTGCTCCTTCTTCCTTTTCCTCCCAGATTTCTCCTTCTATTTATCCTCTCTGGCTGCCAACCCCGCCTATCCTTTCTCCTGCCTCACTATTGGCCGTTCAGCTTTTTTAATTAGACCATCAGGTGTTTTAGACAGGCAAAGTAACACAGCTTCACAGAGTTTAACAAATGCAACATAAAAGAATGCAACACATCTTTGCATCATTAAGCAAATGTTCCACAGCACAAACGAATGTTACGCATCTTAAAATAATATTCCACAGCACAATCCCTTATGATAGAGTTACAGCCAGTTGTAAGCCATCCACAGTAGACGCTGAGAACCAACCTAAGGTCCCCTGCGAGAGCAGGACACATTCTCGACCATGAACCATCTCCCCTAACTCATTTGATCTACTTTCAGTTTTTCACCAAGGCTGGCTAGGAAAAAAAGTTATGTTTAATTAAGACCATTATTTGTGTTTTGCTAAATTTGTTAGTTTTTAACCACAGGGGAAAAATGAGTCTTAAAAGAAAAAAAAAAGCAGGGTTTATTTACATTTTTTTTTTCTCTAAGCTTTATCTAAATGTTAGAAGTTAAATGCACAAGACTGGAGTCAACAGCTAAAGCTCTGAGGCTTATGCTAATGACAATAAAAAGAGACAAATGGGAGAAACAGTATTTGGGGCTCTTGCCTTCCAAGAGCCAGAACCAGGAGATGAAGAAGCCCCTCTATTTCAATAAATCACCTGTCCTCTTGAACCCACAGGCTGTAGAATCTCTGTCCTCTAACCAGTACATAGCCTGCAGGGAGGGGAGTCAATGGAGAGGGTCATGCTCCACATGCTTCCAGAGGAAGCCACATGGTCAACAAGATAGGTACCTCCAAATAGCCCAGCTGGTGGAGGAAAAAAATAAGGAAGCTAGGGGCTCCTTCTGCACCCCTAAGTGTAACCCTGTGAGTCTCAACTGACAATAATAATAATAATAATAATAAGTTGTTAATCTGTGGCCACATACACGGTCTAAAAACACCCATCAGAAAAGCAAAAGCAGCCGGGCAGTGGGGGCGCACACCTTTAATCCCAGCACTAGGGAGGCAGAGGCAGGTGGATCTTTGTGAGTTCAAGGCCAGCCTCGTCTACAGAGCAAGATGCAGGAAAGGCGCAAAGCTACGCAGAGAAACCCTGTCTCGAAAAACCAAAAAAAAAAAAAAAAAAGAAAAGAAAAAGCATATGACACTCGACCATCCATCCAACTTCAGAGATTACTAACTAGACTCACTTACTCAGGATTAAACTCTACTTTTTAGAAGATATTCACAATGAGAAGCAGGAAAAGCCCACTGGAACAACGAACCAATTGAGAACTTAGATTTTTTTCTCTTCAAATGAGACCCGAAGGTCAACTTCAGATAAGCAAATCTATAGACCTATGATTCGTAGCTCCGACTATTAAAATCATCCCCTGGGAAGTGTCTCCATAACATTATGATGACTTAACTGCCCTAGTCCAGCTCCAGCAGGGTGCGGCTCCCAAAGGGAGGTGTGGAGTCAGCGAGGGAACAAGATCTGAAGGGGACTCAGGATGGCTGCCACTTTATTGAAAAAAAGCCACACATTGATACTCTACAATTGCACAAAGGATTAAAGGGGAGGAAGGGGGCACATGAGCTGGGGTGGGGCTTGCTGCTAACTTGTGAGGGAGTAGGCGGAGTTATCACGCTATATGGTTCCACAGTGGTGGGGATCCTCCAAAGAATTATTGTATTTAAAGAGGCTGCCTTTGTATACATCCTCATCCTCTACTGAAGCCCACACATGATTTCTCAAAGGAAAAAGGAACTCCCATACCACATAGTGAGAATCATTAAAAACGAAAGTAAAAGGTGCTGGAACTTTGTCAAGCGGCAGTGGTTGCCATGTGGCCCATGTCACTTACCTGTGCCCAACAGACAAAACCTCCATTGGGCCTCTTCTACATTACCACTTAATGGCTAAACAAGCTTGTGCCTTCCAAAATTCAACAAATTGTTCCTGACACATCATACCTACACTGGACTTTACTATTTCAATTTTGACTTTGTGTCTTTGGTCTTTATTCATGTATGACTGATGTCTTCCAGATACCAGGCCCTAAACCTTTAAATAATGCTGTCTAGAGTCTTTGGCCACCTCCTTGTACCAAGGGCTGTTGGATCACCTAAAGTTCCTGGCCCTGGACACCACACACCCCACACTTCCTTAGCATGAACCCTGAGGAAGGACCATCCACGCAGCTGAAAGCAGCCAGAGTGATCATTGCTCCATGCCCTAAAGGATTGGTTCCCACCTGGGTTCGATTCCCAGCACCCACATGGCTGCTTACAACCAACCTATAACTCTTGTCCCAGGGATTTGAAGGCCTCTTCTGACCTCAGTGGGCACCGAGCATGCATGTGGTACTCAGACATAGCTGCAGGCTAAACATTTATACATTCATGAAGAAGAAGAGGGGGAGGAGCTCACGAAGAGGGGGAACAAAAAAGAACTGGGTCCCAATTCTTTGAGGAGGGAATATTATGATAAAGACAAAAGTATGAGTTAAAATCTTAGCATGAATGGTTTGTTCCCATACCTCAGCACAAAAGACAAAAAAAAATAAAATGGTAAGATTTAAAACACTAAAAAAGATAAATAAATAAAAGATCTTGCAGCGAAGTACTAAATAACCAAACTAGCAAGACAAGAGAAAGACTAGCGCTTCAAAGACCAACAAAGGCTTTCCAGGAAACTCTTTTTTTTGGGGGGTGGGGGGGGAGTCCAAATTGTATTAAGTCAATCCTCCTGTATTTACACTAATTTTTTTCCCAAAAAGTCGTCAAAAATAAAAGAGTTGAGACTGTCCTATAACACACACACACACACACACACACACACACACACACACACACACACACACACACAATTCATAAACAATTAAAGAGTAATATAAAATACACTGATAAACTGTCATATGCTCTTTAAGCCTACTGGGAAGTTGGCTCTTGGAGTAAGGTAGATACCCTTTCTTCCTCCTCCCCCCCCCCCCATGCCGCCCCCCCCCATACCATTTCAGACCCAACCATGTTTGTCTCAAAGTGTCCTCTAGAACTGGCTGTCCTGGAGCAGGCTGGCCCCGTAACTCTCTAACAGGGAGAAAGAAAAACAACAAACATCTAAGCGTATTAAGAAAAAAAAAAAACGTTGTGCCCTTGAGAACAGCCAGAGGGTAAAACGTTTTCAACAGAAGTTACTATTGTTTATCCCACGATATAAAAATGCCTGCGGTGGGAACAGGAAACAGGAAGCTCATCCATGGAAAGAAAGCTCTCAATCAGGAACTCCAGCTGGCGGCCTCAACGTGGCTTCCTCATTTGCTTTCTGATTTGATGATGTTGTCTCTTTGCTCTTTCAATCAGGCTGTTCCAGCCCAGTTGTCTCTGTTGTGCCTGATTTGATGTTGTGCTGTCTAGCTGCCGCCCCTCTATGGGCTGAGTGCCATGTGTCCCTTTACTTTTATTTGCTACACGCTTCATACGTTGGAGACTGAAAGCGTGGCTGTTGTAGAGAATCCTCCCCGCCATATGGAATACTATAAGCACGAAGACCTAAGTTCGTTCCCAGTGGCAAGCTTGTGACCCCAGCACTTTCGGGAAAGCAGAAGCAGGCAAATCCCTGCAGCTCATTGGCCAGCCCGCCTAGCTGAACCGGTGAGTCTCAGGTCCTAATGATAGACAGCACATGTCTCAAAAACCAAAGTGGAGAGCTCCTGAGGAATGTCACCTAATATCATCCTCTGCCTTCCACTTGCATGCGCGCGCGCATGCGCGCGCGCGCGCACACACACACACACACACACACACACACACACACACACACACACACACCAATTATATCCAGAGAGTGACAAGAATCCAGGTAACATGAACCACTGAAGGTATTTGAACAAAAGGAAAGTATGGAGTCATGAGAAAGAGAGTGAGGGTTCTGAAGTCCCCCCCCCCCCCCCCCCCCCCCCCCCCCCCCCCCCGCACCCCTCTCCCCAGCCTCTCGGGTCAGTACAAACAAGCTGGAGAATCAGGAGCCAGCTGACAATTGAGTACTGGGCACTAGAATGAATGTATCCGTCCCTAGATGGATCCAGTGCCAATGACTGTACATAAGCAGGTGCTGGCTCCCTTGCACTGGCCAGATTGCAAGCCCTGTCTTCTCTTCCCATTTATTTGGGGATGAGATGACTCTACCTTTCTCCAGAAGGATCCCGCTGTGCCCTGAGCCTTGAGCTCAGATGCCTGACTCTGATCTTTAACCTGATGCTCTGGCTCCCAGCAGGCATCTCTCTGGGGACCCGAGAGAGTAGGAGCCACGCTGGCATTGTAATAGAGCCGGAAGAGTTATGAAACCCAGGAGGTTCAACTAGGCTCTTCGGCAGTAAATACTTGTTATAAAAATAAACCCAGCCTGTGATTCCACAACAATGAGCAAGTCCTCAGGGCTGCCAGTGCTGGAAGTAATCATACTTCTCTGGGCACAGGGCTAAGGACACAGGCCAAGCCACAGAGCATGACATGCATTTGGGCTCACGCTCATGATTCCACATCTCACAGAAGACTCAGACCTCCTTCACAGTTTCAAAGGAGGAAAGCTTTTCCACCTGCAGTCAGGTATAGAGAAATACAAAGTCTCGAGCTTGAGTTAAATAAAACAATAATCACCTATATGGGGAACAGTGCAGTTAGGTGTAGCTGGAGTGATACTGACTCCACATTTAATGGGAATCCACGGTACGGAGTTATGAAGGCAACTGTGTGGTCTTAACTGTACTGAAGCCACTAGAATATTCAGAACAAGGGAGGATGTTCACTGTTTCAGATCAGAGTAGCCTAGGAAATACATCCAGAGAAAAGACTCAGGATGGCATGAGAACTGAAAACCAGGAAGAGAAGTCCGCAGAACTGAATTCCTAGAGCCCGGAAGAGATCCAATGGAACAGGACAACCCCTTTCATACACCTGACTAACCGTCACGTGTAATGGCGGCCAGCACGCTGAAAGCCAACAGGGTCCTGTCTTGCCTGTGCTTCGGTAGTCCTTGCCCACAAGGAACTACCACTATAATAAGGAGAAAATTCTCAAAGTATAAAGTGGTGTGATTGCATGTCAGCTGAGTTGGACCAAATGCTCTGTGTGAGCAGGAGAGAGACCCGAAGACGCTTTCCAGAGGAGGTCGCATGGCATTGACCTTGAAGGAGAATGGGAACTCTATGGGCAGAAGCAGCAAGTCTTTCTGATGGTTAGCCAGGCTCATTAACAGCTAGAAGATCCATCTCCCCGCGGGTGAGTTTGTTGCCGATCTAACACGCAAACCAAGAATGCCACAGCAGCAAAAGTGAACACTCAGAACCACTGAGCCTCTGTGTTGTGCTTTTATCAGCTCCTGCTACCCTGAGGCCCAGATGCCTTAGCGATCTTCTCCATGGTGGACATGCCCATGGCTGCCTTCAGTCAGAGCATCTATACACGTCCACAGGAGACCCTCATGAGATCTGGCCTGTTATTCCCTCCTGGGATCCTGATGAGGCCCTGCAACTCCCGAGGTTATATAAAGGTAAGCAGTGTGTGGGTAGGACTGTGCCATAGCAAGGCTGCTGTAAATTACCCAAGGGTCTCTTCATTGGAGCAGCTTCTAGGTTTTTCCAAGCTCTGGGTGGGACTCTTCAGTGGTGTGGCTACCTTGAAGTCGTTCATGGTCCTGTAAATAGCTCCTGTCAACTCCTCAATTCACCAACCTGGTTTTGGGTGAGATCTGTGGTTTGTTGGTACCCTTTCTATCGGAGGTAAACAGATATTCTAGATATTTCTTTACGTCTCCCCAGGGAAAGTCCCTCCATAGTCGGTATGAACATCTGGGGGATGAATGTGTGGATGAAGACATGAAGAGCTCACTGCCCATGCTGCTCTGGTTCTGCCCTCCTTCGCACAGAACAGCATGGCCGCAAGAGGGAGGCAGTGGCAATGGTTTAACGTGGGGGCCTGCCTAAGCCCCCTGTGGTTTGGAATGCTCTTGAACATATGATGCTCATTACGGCTGAGGTCACAGGTGCCCCACAAACCCCCAGAGGCAAGTTAAATTTGCTCTCCTCTGTGGCCACAGGGCCTAAAACCTACCCGAGATGTACCATTGTTCAAAGGAGTCTCTTAATCCCGCTCATCTTTTCTTAAATGTTTTGACAAGCCTGCAGGGCAGGCAGCCATCTATCTGCCTCCATCCTTGCTTAACCTACCTCACCTCCAGGTCTGTGGTATAGGAAGAGATCTCTTTTCCTAGAAGGAAAATAAAAAATAAAAATCACAGAGCTTCTGAGGTTGGGAAGGCAGGACCTAGAATTTAGAACTCATGCGGCCCCACCTCCTTATTTTATGGACTAGAAAATGAAAGGGTGTGTCCTGGCCTCCTGGCTCCTCTTATGACACTCACTCCCAGGCATCTGGCTGCTTCCTCCTCCAGCAAAGCCAGCCCCTCGCAAACCTCTTACTCCTGGCTGTGTGCCAAGAGCTTCTAAGCCGTGTGACAGCATAGCCTAGGAGCTGGGTGCCCGTGGTTTTCCTTACGGACAAAAGCATTCGCGAGATCAAAGCATTCACAGTTTGATGATGTTCCTAAAGGCGAATTCAAATTGCTGAGTTAAACAGCCAGCAATTTTTTTTTTCAGGGCTTTCCGGAACAATTACTCAAGAAGGAATTCAACTATGTTTGCCTTTGGTTCCTTCTAGTCCTTTTCTGCTGCCTGGAGAGGGAGGGAAGGGAGTGGCCCAACAAAGAAATCTTAAGAGATTATTGCTAATTACAGATTTTTACCTACCCGATGTTCTTTCGCTTCTCGAGTTAATTAAATCAAGACCAGATGTCTGCCAGATGGGTTAGCTGCTGGCTATTGTAAGAGATTAATAGATCCCAGCAAATGAGGTAGGGATGACGCTGTTGGGTTTTAGGGATCGTTGCTGCTGCTGCTGCTCTCAGCAGAAACCGGAAGAAAGGACTCTATTTTGTCAGGATGCTAGCCTGAGCTGAGCGAGCAGGCAGGTCTTCTGTACCAGCCCCTCCGGCGAGGGCATCAGATCTGAAAAGAGTCAGATCTCCAGTTACATTTTTAATAGCAACTGGTTCTGGTTTGGGGATGTGTAACTTAGGACTCGAAGGGTCTGATAGATCCTGGGTGGCAATCAGGGCTCAGTGTCCTCCTGTTCTTCTCCGATTGACTCCGATTGTCCCCGGCACCATGTTCTGACACAGTGCAGAACATCATTCCCAAAGGCCATGGCCCGTCTCCAACCTCCCCCATCCCAGCTCTGCCATGGGTAGAGATGTCCACTCCTGGTCCGGTCCTTCTAGAGCATCAGGGATCCTGGCTGAGACCAGCAAGGAAGGAGGGGGGGGGAGAGGCCAGGCAGAAGGGAACAAAGGTCAGTTATTATTCACAAAGGACCCATTTGTTCTAGCGTGTGAAAGTGAACTTCTGCACAGCACTGGGGCCTTCACAGACACCCCAAGCTCACACTAGCCAACCAATCAGTTCCCGGTGCTCCCTAGAGTCTGTCTTCCATCGTGCCCGAGTCTGAGTCACCAGCGCCAACCGAGCCTGTCTCTGGGTGAGACGGGTGCTGAGCAGCCAGGAGCTGTTCGAGGCCCCAGAGCTGCCCACACGGCATTTGGAAAAAAGCAGGCACACACTCTCTTTCTTTGTAACTGAAACAGAGCAGCGGAGCGTGAACACACATCGGTTGGTGTAACTCTGATTCCTTTCTGAAGAACCTCAGCTCTTCCTCCCCTCCCCCACAGTGAATTCAACCAAAGTGTCCTGGCTTTGGCAAGTTGGAAAGAATGACTCAGCTGTATTTGGCAGCTGATAGTCATGGCATGCCACTCTCTGGGAAACAGAAAAGCACTACAGGTAATAATTTGGTCTATTCATTAAAACAAAAACAAACAAACAAAAACAAAAAACAACCTCTGCCTTCTCAAGCCCATTCATTCCCCCATGATCTCTTGGTCCTTCCTGTAACTTTTGCTACAATCTGTGGGTCCTTTTCAATGCCCAGGGTTACCTCTTCAGATTGGGTCAGGGAAGGAACCACCTAGAAAGGACAGTGAGGCAGGCAGTGAGGTGCCCAAGGCTCAAAGGCGAACACTCAGTCGACACCTGCACAATCCTGGCAGTGCACAATTCCCCAAACAATGTAACCTGGGAGGCCCATTCCTCACCCTGAGACAAAAGGGATTTCTTTCCCCAAAAGAAAGTAATTTGCTTCCTGGGTTCATAAACCAAAGGAACACCTTTAAAATACACCCACACCAGGGACTGAGGAGATAAATCAATTAGTTGATGGTGCTACATGAGCGTGAAGCTCTGAGTGTGATCCAACACACATCTAAAAAAAAAAAAAAATCATCAGGTGTGGTAGCATGCTTGTAATCCCAGGGAAGCAGAGGCAAGAGATTCCTGGGATGCTCTGGGCAGCCAGCATAGCCGAATTGGCGAGCCCCAGGCCCGTGAGAGATCGACTCTCAAAAACCAAGTGGTGACTTCTGAGGAACAACATTAGAGACTGACCTCCGGCATTCACATGCACATGAACTGGTGTGCGCACGGGAACACACATATGCACACACAGAGACACGTGCACACGAATGCTTCAAAAAGAGTGTGGCGCCTGGGCGTGGGAAACTCATCCACAGGTGAGAGTTCTGGGCAGCTATGGTTAGGAATTGCTGGCTTGCAGGAGGCTTGCACGTGGCCACAGTGAGTGGACATCTGGTTCAGCTGTCTCTGGCATGGCCCCTGCAAGATTTCCTCTGGGCCCTACAAGCCCCTGAGGTATGGCATCTCTACCAAGCAGCCTTAGCCATATTCTCCACCCTCCCCTACTCCAAGCTCCCCAGCTGGATTTTCAGCTAAATTCCTCATTAGCTCCTAGGAGCATGCAGAGACTGCTCATGCTACGCCACTGACGCTCCTAAGTTGGAGTAGGGAATCTCTGAGTGGTCAGACCCCCGAAACTGTGAACAACTGTGGGGCACACCTCCCCCACCAGACTGCAGCCCTGGCTGGGGAGATGAAGGTGTGTGCCCAGCTAAGCTGACATCCCACCTCTTCCCTCTACCGCTTCTCCTGCGACCAGGAGAAATAAAGCCTGGGGTTTCCCATGCCCTCTTCCTGCCTTGAGATCGCGAGATCGCTCGCACAGAAACTGTATCTGCTCCCAGACCTTTTGAAAATCCTGCCTCTTTAGCAGCTGGCTTTTGAGCTTGTCACTTTGGGGACTCACGAAACTCTAATTTGACCGTAAGACCTCAGCGATGGCAACTCTGTACCCTTTCCCCAAAGCACTGAACTTCCCCTGCCCACCTCTAAACACACACGCACACACACACACACACACACACACACACACACACACACACAGAGAGAGAGAGAGAGAGAGAGAGAGCTTCTCACCCCACAGAAGCAGAACTTAGAGGCTACAAAAACATTTCTGAGAACGTTTTAAACATTATCTCTGTTCCGGGCCAAGACTCAGCACTTTACCTGGAGCCTCTGAATGTACACCCACGTTCTGGGTCTTTCTTCATTCTCACAGCATTTGGAGAGGCAGTAGAAAGCGGACACTTACGGTCATCTCATATTTGTGTAATGAGATAAAGGAGAAGATGGAGTGACTTCTGGGGCCCCTGTGATGCAGAGGAAGCTGGAAGTGGGATACAGGGTTCTAACGGATCTTGAGCTTTTATTTATGAACTCGGCTCACTCAGTTCTGAACCTTCCGAGCCTGTCTGTCAGAGTCTATGGAGAAACTGGAACCCTTAAAGCCAGCTATGGGATCTGAGAGCGGTGTGGCCCAGCAGTTCTGGAAGCCAGCGTGCAGGCTGGGCTTAGTCCTGGCTTGTCTGACTCCCGCCATCCTCATTCAAACTAGCTGCCTCTGCAAACATGGGGAGTGGGAACTTACTTCTTCCTCTCATTCTCTTCCCCACCCTGGTCCATGCCACTGCCCAGTGGTCCAGCAGGGGCTTTCTCCCTGCCCACTGCCCCTAGTCTGTAGCGGTATCAACACCACTAAGCCTTCAGGACTTCCCAGAGCTGGGCCTGCCCTCCATAGGAAATTGAGCCCACTGTGAGTCAGCAGCCTGGATGGGCCTGAAGCCCAGAGACTCTTGGCTAGGCCTCTACCAGATGGGGCATTCCCATCCTCCCAGTCCTCAGGGCAACGTCTGCCCCACATTGAGGTATCAGAGTTCCAGGGTGTCTCCCTACTCCGTTGCAGCTCTGAAGTTGTCCCAACAAATGCCCTTGCCTTGGAGGGTTGGCAACGGGCGCAAAGCACAGAAGCTTGTAACTGCGAGGGAAGTGGTATTCTGGAAGCCGGAGGGTACGGAGTGTGGGTACCGCCTCTCCTGGCTGTGACCCCTCTGGGTTCCAGGAGGGAGAGCTGAACAGCCTCCAAGAAGCACCCACACACCCTTGGTGCCCACACTTTTGTGAATCACAGCTACTGTATGGGGTGCTGAGTCACTCTGGGGAGACAATATCGGGCCTATTTTAAAAGGATTTGTCAGGGTACTAAAGCCCTAAATGCTTAGTAATTTAACTACCAAAAATAGGTACTGGTTAGGCCTCAGTGCAGGCCAGGCTGCTCCTTTGCTGGCTGTCATGGTACACGCAGTCCTGAGCTCGCACAGAGGGACCTGGCACACACAGGACAGTGTCAGCCACCACTGCCGGAGTGTGAGCCAAACCTTTGCCTCAAGAAGGGTGGAAGGGGAACTTCAGGCGAGGCCAGGTCTGAGCAGCAGATACTGACTCTTGGTGCCACATATTCGGACTCACTCACTACTGTTTCCATTTATGGGGAGAGAAAAATCAGGTGGCCTGGGACTATCCGACTTGAATTTCCAACTCCTCAGCAATCCAAAAACCTGAAGTTTCTCTTTAGTTCAACGGATCTCCTTCTAACCCTGTATTCATCTAGGACTCAGTGACCTAGAGACCGACCGGAGCCACCATGGGCCTTAGAGACCACTATGTCCAACCTATACTGATGATGAGCAAACACACACTCAGAACAAGGTGGGACTTGCTGAATCCCAGGTCGCCATCCCTAGAGTGAAGGGTGCAGAGAGGGGTGTGGATGAGACACGGGGCCCTAGCCAGGAAGCCGGCCCATGCAAGGTAAAAGGTAAAGATTGCCATCAGAAGTCGAACGCAAGTTACAGGAAAGCCAAGGCACAGATCACTCCTGCACAAGGACTCAGGACAGCTGTCAAGGGAAAGCTCTGGAATTAGCTCTCCAAAGCTGGGCTGGGTGTGGATCCTTAGGGGGTAGGAGGAAGGGAAGAGGGCTGTGTCCATAAAAGCAGCAGCTAAGGCATCGATGAGAGGCCTGGGGGTGTCAGTTAGTTGGGCTAGTGCATGGGGGTGTTAAGATAGAATAATGGGTACAGGGAAGGAAATAGGCTAAAGACCAGATGATGGAAAGTCTGAAATGCCACAGCGAGGAATCGGAACTTGATGGTCATCATTATCATCTAAAAGCACCAGGTGGCAAGGGGCCAGACGTTTCACTGAGAAAAATGCTCAATTAGTACGCAGTCTGCACTTTCTGGGAGCTGGAGTTCAAGAGAAAGACTGAAATTACGGGCGGATATTAAAGACATGTATTAAACACACACATAAATCAAAACCTACTTAACACCCGCGTGTGTAAGTGTGAGTGGAGAGTAAGGGCACTTAATGGACTTGGGAAGGAAGATGACATTTGGGGAATCACTCCTGGAACGCCCTCTGCCTTTCCTGTGCCTTGCAGCTCTGAGAAAGGTTCCCGGGAGCCAAGACCTCAGTCTTGATATTAGACACCGGCTTCGCGTGGCTTTTGTTTCTTAGATGGCTGATTTCTGAGGCTGAACGGTTCTGGGAGCCTCCTATCCGTTCTCCTTTCTGTTAGTCCTCCTCTTGCGTTCAACCCCAAGTCCACTATTTGGAGGGGAAATGGGGGAGGCAGCCACTGGGCATAGTGTGCAGGTTACCCACCAAAGAGTTGGAGCTGAACGCTGACCCTTCTGTTGTCAAGCCAAGAAGAGCTGTATCCGCACACGGGGTGGTGCTTTTCCTAACTCACACAGAGGCATCGAATGGGCTTGTGGCCCTAACGGTGGTGGTGGTGTAGCCAAGCAGCTGCTCTACACGATGCAGTCCAGCTTCCCCCTGCCCTGCCTCCCACCAGGGGACATCGGAAACACTCCAGCCTGGTGTCCCAGGCCAGGTGCTGGGAGGCAGTGACTGTGAGCCTCCCAGCTCTCCTCGCTACATCCCTCCTTCTCTTACGGCAACATTAGGCCAGAGATCTGAGGGAAAGCAGAAGAAAAATGTTGCCAAAGGACATCAAAGAGCCACACATACTGGAAACACCCACTGGGTCATGCCCCGGTTTCAGCAAGTTGGACATACTTCTTTCTGTCTTCCCTGGCAGGCACACTGTCAAACACAGCTCTCCATGCTTCCATACAGTGTGAGAGTTGGGAGCCCCTGTGGTCAGCAGGAATTCCCTCCCGACCCTGTCAAGATTGACAGGAGCTACCAGCCAGTTCCAGCATTGAAAGGACGGCCCAGCAGCCCCCAAGCAGGCCTTTTCACTGCAGTAGGCCTTGGTTAGGCTGCCACTTGGCTCTTGGTATTCACTGTGGTTGGATATGGGTGATCTCACTGTTGGCTCCGCTTCTGCGCTCTGTCGCCGCCGTGTAGATCTGTAGGTGAGAAGGAAAGAAGAAAAGAACAGTGACAGAGAGCTATTCCTCTTACCCCCTGCCCCCATCTGCCTGCACCAGGAAGTGAATTAAGCCCAGAAGAGGAGCCCCTATTGCTCCCAGCTGGACAGGAACCTGTGTCCATGCCGTGTACCTCTCTTCGCTCTGCTCCTATCCTCGGGTTCTGACTCCTGGACCAGCTTCTTTATTATGGGCTAGCAAGGGTCTTCTGAAAGATGTTTCTTGAGCATGGCTCCCAAATTCCCTCCTCAAAGACCGCCACTTAGATTATGTTCGTCTAGGTACCTAGTGTTAAATACCCCTCCTGGATCAGTAGCAGGGCCTCTGGTTCTGTGCATTGCCTTGAACCCTATCTCTGTTGCCTGATTGCTGGCTTCATCAGTGTCCCAGGTAAGTCCCCAGCCCCCCCCCCCCCTTCGATCAGGTAAAATGGAAGTACAAAAATAATGAGCCTCGCTTCTCTGGCATGTCTTCTAACTGCTCACCTTGTCTAATGGATTCTTTGCATTCAGAGGGCAGGGCACACCTCTTTTCCATATTTGGATCTGGTATCACAGAGTCCAGGTCAGGGCCTT